AGGAAAGAGCTGAACCAATGGAGTCTGCCTCGAAGGGCTTCGGCTTCCGACGACTCAAGCAAGCCGGATTCAAGAATACGTGTGAGGGTCTGCCTCAATTCCTGAATGCGCTCTGGCGTGTGCTTGATGTACACGACTCCATTTCCGAATTCACTCAGATCAATAATCAGGCCAAGGGCCCGACATTGCTTGGAGAACTCGGTGGCTTTCTTCCCTTCCTTTGCGAAAGTTATTCCGAGGATGTCTAGCAGGGCCTCCGCACAAGATTCGGCACAAGGACAGTGCTCGTCCAAACTGAAAAGAGGAAAGTCGTCAAAATAATTGCACCAGGAGAGGCCCAGCAGGGCTGAGCCGATATGCCACGTGGCAGCAGACGTTCTCAGGAATCCTGCCACGGATCCCGTCGTTCCGAAGGGGAGCGCTGCCGCTCCGAAGAATTTGGGTTTCCTCGAACACGTATCAAGTACAACGATTCGGAAGATTTCCCGATCAGAGGGATTGACAGCGTACTGTTTGTATGCCCATTTTAAATCAATGGTTTTTCCCGACACCTGTTTCCCTTTGGCCCGTGGGTCCATCATGGCCCAGACAAGGAAGGCCGAGATGAAATCGATGCTGTGTAGCCTGAAACGTTCGGGCAACCCAACGGTCTGATTGATCCCGGCTGCCTTCCCGTCATCTATCACTCTGGTCTTGGCGCCTTGGATGATACCGAACCTTCGGGCAACTAAGACAGACGAAAGGTCCGGAGCTGGGTCTTCAAACAGCCAGCCTTTCTGCTGTTCCTCGAGCGTTTCGGACCAGGCCTTTTCAGCGACAGCATCAATCGGCTGAGAAGAGACTCTGGCCAGCGTAGCGGCATTCCTGGCTGAAGCACATCTAAGCTGTTTGTCAAGGCTGGTCTTAGGGGGGCGAGGTTCGCCAACGAACAACCCAGTTCTAGGCATCCATCCGGTCAGCGGAAAACCCTTCCTAAGGTCGGGGACTAAGGACTTGTCTGGAAAAGATGAGTCGGCAAGCAACCTTTCGAGCAGGAAGGTTTTCTTCCCGTCGATGATTTTGCTCACCAAAGGATCCAGTGATTTCTGAGCTTGTTCCTCCAGAGGCTCGAGTTCCTTAGCGATTTCGTTCCACTCTGCTAGTCGCGATTTCCCCAGGTCCTCGCAGGCTGCGCGTCCGGTCAAAAGGTTATCTACAAGGAGCTTGGTTCGCTCGTCGATCTGATTCTCAAGTATCCTTTTGGGGTGGCCCGCCAACACTGCTTGCTGCACGAAGTCTGACGGAGAGCGGGGAATGCCTATCCAGAGTACCTCGCACAAATCTTCAAAGGTCGAGTCACTCATGAATCCACAAACTTTGCAAATGGGCTGGTCCTCTTCTTCGAGAGGGGGAGCATGCGAGTCCATACTCCATTTCCAGTTGGATCCCAAATTAGATTCAAGCAAGGCGAAATCAAGGCTAGGGAGAACGCAAGCCCTTATCTGACCCCAATGCAAAAGCTTGCGACGAACAGCACGAGCACCTTTAGGGTACGCTTTCAGCAAGGCGGGCGGACAGGCAGTGAAGCCCAGCGGCACAGCCCAAGCATCATAAGCGCCGAACTCACTGACTAAGGCCCGGTGCTTACGGGGTTGTTTCTCATAAGCCAGCCGTGTGACGGAGCTGGCCGGCCCGAACAAAGATGGGGCAGCAGGAAGACTGCAGACCTGAGAAGCAACCAACTCGGCGATTCTAGCGCACAAGAGAGGTGGATATGCACCTTTGGTTCCTGTATCGGAAGCTGCGTTCCAGGGCGCATGCGGGTGCATGCGGTTACACGAGAGCCCCAAGGGCTTGAACCATGGAGCCGAGCAAAGCCAGCGCAGCTTTCGATCTCGATCACCGCCATGCATGCACTCGTGAAAATCCACGACCTGATTATCGGCACAGGACAAGAGGTCCTGAATCATCGGTAGAAGCCAAAAGAGAGAGGAGGCGGGAGCCTCCACACTGACTACAATATTGAACTTCCGACACAGCATGAACACATCATGACTGAACATGTAAAGGTCGTTGGCTTCAGTGACTTGCCTTCGCAACGACTCTGGCAATCCTTCCAAACCTAAGGGCTGCGCGGCTGACCGGGCCGGAGGGGCCGGGTTAGTCGCAGATTCTTTGTTTCGGGCAGCCAAGCAGGTCTCCTGAGGTGGAGCCATGTGCACATACTGCAAGGAAGAGGCATGGTCCTGGATTAGTTGTAGCACGACCTCGCACTCAGACCGATCAGCGAAATCGAGCGCCTGAACGGGATGGCTGGACCTGCAGACCTTATCAAAAGCCAGAGCTTGGAAACCTAAGCGCGTGAATGCCTGACTCAATCGGGCGGTGCCGGCGAACAACTCAAGGAACATGCCAGCCTCTTCATCGGTCTGAGGTAATTGCGAAGCCGGCCGAGAGTCGGCCTGGGAAACCTGCGATGCGTCCTCAGACTGGTCCTTAGAAAGCGGCAGACGAAAGTCGAATGCAGCAAGCACTGCTCGATGCTCCGGCGTGAGGCGCTCAAGGCAGTTCACCGAAAAGGCAACCAAGACTATCCTAGAACCATTAGACCAAGGCAGTGTCTCGTGCTCGAGAAAGGGGTCGAACTGAAGCGGTCCTTCGCTGAGTGATAAGTTCACTGGACCATCGGCGCGGTGAAGGCGCAACTGACCTCCTTCGAAAAAGCTGAGGGCGCAGATCCCGTTGCGAGATCTTGGCAAGTTGTTGGCGTCTTTATGCAGAGCAGTCTGCATGTTGCGGAAAAGGCCAACAGATGTAAATGTCAAACCGGGGAAGGCTATCCTAGCTAGGGTAACCAGCAGGCGGGTGCAGGCTGGGAACTGTCGGCAGTTACGTCGCACTCCGGTGATCCCGCCTTGGTTGTAAGCACCGGTGATGAAACACTTCTCAAGTGGGTCTTGTGCCGTCTCACGGGAGGATTCCTCGTCGGGCAAAAGCTCCGCGAGTTCCATCCAGGACGAAGAGTCGCCTGAGCCTTGCTGAAGACAACTTCTCGCGAACTCTTCAGCCGGGTGTTGGCCGTGATCTGACACGTGATGCGGAGTGAAGGAAAATTGCAAGCGGCTCATCTCGAAATGGTCATGAGCAGGATCGGCAGCGAAGGTTTGGGCCGAGCACTCGGAAGAATCACGATGCTGCAAAGCCGGCTCTTCGCGCACTTCAGAGCTCAACAAGATTTGATCTTGGGGCTCACGATATCCAAAGAAGTGTGGCGGGTCATAGCAAGGAGTCTCAGTCCGATCTGAATTCGATTTGTGGCCGGAAGCACGGACTCTCTTGGGAGAGCGACTTCTGGCTTGAGCATGCACTGTTCTATCGGAGAGGTCACGGGAGGCTAGTCACTCTTTGTCGGCCTTCCCGTCAGCCTTCCCGGATCCTTTTCCTCCGCCTTTCCCGCCTTTGCCTTTGCTGTTGGCTTTGTTAAACCAGCAGGCTGACCATCCGTGGCCAACTTTCCGGCATCCCATGCAGGCGTGCACTCCGCGCTTGCATGCTGGCGGGTGTCCTCCATCTGTTGCAGCATTACAAGTCCCGGTGTTGTGGGTCCAGCAAAGCCGGCGGCCCGACTGATCAGTATAGAACTTGCAGTCTTTGAGCTCTTTGGGCATGTTGTCCACCTTCACCGCGGCTGAGAGTGCGGATGTGCGGCGCTCACGGCGCGGCTTTTTCCTGGGGTTCTTATCCCCATCAAGAGATCCATCGATGACCGCATCAGTCGCAAGGCTGCTGAGGGCTTTGGGCAATGGAAGCAAATGCATCGTGATTCGTGGGTCCGTTCTCAAGCGATCTAACAGAGTGTCTGCTTCCATCTCACCTGTTGCGCTTGCCTTGACGTTCTTGATTTCCTTGGACATCAACAGGAACATCTCAGAATCGGCTTTAACGACCTGGGCGACAGTGACATGGCTGTATCCTGGGATGGAGTCAGAGGTCAAGCACTGCAGCAAGTAGCAAACCCATTTCTCATGAGTCTCCCAGGAGATAATGCGATTCATGTCGAAGGCCAGGCCACGTCGCTGCAAGCACCATTGCAGCTGGAGCGGTGTGCTGTGATCTGCGATGAGCTTGTCTGGCTGGGCCGTGACGGTCACCGAGTTATCCAGCACGGTCAGGATCCTGGACTTTTCTTTAGGCCCAATCTTCAACTCTTGATCACGCTTCGTACACTTGCTGGGAGACAACCATGTCAAGCAGTTGGTCTCGGACATGTGGGCCACAGCATCCACCAGCGCATGCGATGGAAGCAGCTCGTCCTGGATCACCAATCCTGAAAGCCGTAGCCGCTGTTCTCTGTAACGAGCTTCTTTTTCCGCCAAGGGAAGGCGCTTGGGCTCATCGGTGGTGTCACCTACCACCTGTTGCTTCAACTGAGCGATGACGTATGTCGCCGCTTCGAAGTGCAAGCGAGTGAGCTTCGAAGTTTCGCCCAAGCTAGCTCCAAGACCCAGGATCTCCTCACTGAACGCCCGGAACTCGTCTACACTCGGAGGGGCCTGCGGGGTTCCGCACGCGAAGGCCAGGTCTGAGAAGGATTTGATCTCCTTCCCTGCGAGCTTCCGGTACATCCCGTCTCCCCCGCACATCTCCACACATCTGCTCCGGAAGGAGGCGTGTGAGTCCACAAGAGCCATGGCTTCCTCTCGGCAGCAGGTTGCTGAGGGTTTCGGGCCAAATTGCACAACTGACCAGACGAATGTATCCTCTCTCCTAGCAACGTAACTCGCGCCTCGCTTTCCATGCTGTGTTGGAATTGCAACTGAACTCCTGAGATTCCACACTCAACACAATCCAAAAGTCTCTGCGCGCTTCCGTGTTAGTCTCAAGATCTCAGCGGAACAATCAAGCATGAGTCTGATCAAACAGTTCGCGCGGCTCTTTCTATGCTGGTTGCGTGAACACAGCATAGAACCCAAGCGGATTTCCGCCCCCTTGGGGAAGCGGTTACCGCTTGCACATGAGCGTCAGTCTGCAGCTGCTACTTTCTTGCACGCCCGACAAACCGGGGTGTCGTATCTCAAAATTCCCGGTTCTCCGATCGGGGACTTCACGAGTCTACCACACAAGGTCATGTTGACATGTCGCAACCTCTGCAGATGCAAAGTCTTGAACCTAGCATGCTGAACAAACCTGCAGCCATCTGCAGGCACTGGCGGAGGCAAAAGTCGAACCGGCCGCACTGAGGGCTCCGGCGCGCTGGCACTCGAGTTCGAGCTGGATGAGTCTGAGGATGAACTGTCTGTCGGGAGCCCACTTCCAGCCTCTTCGGCTTCAGGCCTTTCGTCTTCTACAAGTGATTGCTTCGGGAGTGGCTTGTTCTCGGTACCCGGCAATGACGGTGCAGCACCAAGACTGTGCTCGTCACTCGAACTGTGTTCCAACATCCGATCTATATCACTGGTCTGAGCTTCGTGCGTGACGAGACTCGCGGGCGGCGCCCGCTCAGGCTCTTCCTGAAGAGGAGCGGCAGGATCAGAAGTGGGCTCTCCTCCCTCGAAACGTCCAGCCCTGGTGGAGTCTGGATGAAACCGACCTGATCGGATCGCTTTGATCACCATCTCAATGAGTCTCAAAGGCCTAGCCATTGCGTCATCTGCGTACTCATCACTCATGCGTCCTGGGTGGCTATGACCTCCCATCGCCAAGCGATCGTCGTGGCTAATTCCCCATTTGGCGCAGTAGCTGAGCATGGTCCTTTTAAGGCTGTGTGACGTTGTCTTAAGGCCCTGCCTGTCTGGCAGGAGTCTGAGCAACCACTCCCCACACTCATCAGAATCTAATGCCCTAATGGTCGGGACTCCACTGGCATCAGGAGCAGGCATGAAGGCATGTTCGGCAGACAGGCCCAAAGCGGTTCTTGCGTCAAGGAATTTCTCAATCCATCCCTCTGAGGACACCCCCAAGCCCGGCGCAACAAGCTCGAGAGGCACTGGACTCCTCCCGCGCCGGTTCATGTTCTTGTGGATGTCTATGACTGCCTCAAGATAGTAAACCTTAAGACTGTCAGGACTTTTGTCAAAACTGAAGGAATCAACGTGCTGTGCATCACTCCATCTGGATCGTGAGTACACACAAAACAGTGCACAGCCGGCGAAGAGGCGGTCCCATGGGTTAGACCTCGAATCAAGGACCTGATGCAATGCCACCAGGTCTATCACTCTCAGTGGCGCGGCCTTTGAAGGAGTCCTTGCAATGCGAGAGGCCCCAACTCCCCAGCAGCGCCTGCTAATCGCTATTTGGCTGAACGCCGCAATATCGAACACATGTCGAGCGAAGAGTAGCCCTTCCATGACCCCTCTGAGCTGAGACGGGAGAGCTCCACCCGTCTTTGCCTCTTGCAGAAGCTCGTAAAGCTGCGGCTCACTCACTGGGAACCTCAACCCTTTGGCTTCGCCGACCTTGATAATTTTCAAAATCGAGTTAGCCCTTTTTGTCAAAGTGCTAGGAGCCTTTCTTGCCATGTAATCATCAAGCGTGTTGAGCTTCTCCGTCTCGGGCAAAGAAGCGATGGTTTTAATGACAGGGTCAGACTCAAAATCAAGTTTGTCAAAGATGCACGACCACTTGCACAATGCTCTGCGATGCTCTGCTTCACGTTTGTCCCTCCAAGAGATCACACTCCTGTTCTTGACAACATCCAAGAAAGACGAAGGGCCCTCTTTGCGGGGCCTCTTAGCAGAGGCTTGGACCTCGGCCTGTGGTGGCGTCGGCTCTTCTATCGAACCTGCGAAAGATGGTCTGTGAAATTTGAGCGCCGGGACCATCCTGTCTACTGCGGGCTTGTCGTTGAAGAAACTTTCCCAAAACCCAGACTCCCAGGCAAAGGATGGAACCGGATCCCCAAGCGACAAGAGAGAAGCTCCCAAGGCCACCGCCCTCTGTTGAGGTGTTGTGGCAGGCGCGGGTTCTCCCTTCGGTCCAAGGCTTGAAGAAGGTGTTTCCTTTGCAAGGTTCGTGACAAGATCACCTGAAGGGACACTGCACACGTCCCAAGAGTCCTCGGGCTCTCGATCAATGGGCTCACTCAGAGCGAACTCGGAAGGCTGATACTCCTCTTCAAAGGAATGAGGCTCCTGGCCTGCCATAATTCTAAGGCTCGAAAGGAGACCCACCTACAACTCCCCCCGACCCAAAATTTCATGGGCCAGAGAAAAGCTTCTACCTCCACATCCCTCCCATCTCGAGCAGAGGCCATCGGATGGTCGAGGGATCCTTCTGTTCAAGCACAAGGCAAATGACATGTGTTGAAAGCTGAAGCATAAATTTGCAAAGAGGCCACGCTTGAATTTTCCAAGAGAAAATTCATCAACACACGGAAATAAGAGCATCGTCCCTCCGGGACCGGAACTATCTTTTCCACTATTTTTTCAACCTCGGTGCACTTGACACTCTTGCGACCGACGGTGACGTGGCTACATTTCCTTCTTGAAGGTTCGTCCGCAGGATTTGAAGGACTTGGCACCCTCTGACACCACGAAGCAATGCCCGCACTTTCTTCATCCTTGAGAAGCACATGCAACAGAGCCTTGATAACAGCAGCGCGGCCTGAACCGGAGATGCAAACATCACGAGCACAGTTGTTGTCCACAAAGAATACAGTGGGCCGCCCCTTCAGGGCCGATAGCCATAGCCTCATCCCACAAAGGAGGGCTAGAAGTTCGGCGGGAAAGATTATCGTCTTTTGGACCTGCGCACCAAGAAGGTCCTGATGCCGAGCGCATAAAGAGTGAGAGAAGGAACCTATGAGATCCCCACGATGATTGAACAAGACACCGCCAATACCGCATTTCCAGTCTGAGGCCGAGGGCTCAAAGCAAGCATCAGTGAAAACAAACATAGGTTCCTGTCGTAGGACCTGCACCAGCCTAGGAGTAGCTTCCTTGAGGACCCCACTAAACCCTTGAAGCGCGTGAAGAAGATTCGCCGGCACATTTGGAGGCAGATCGCCATAAGCGAAGTCAGTGAGATGCTTGAGGCAAACCTTGGCAGATCTACCGAAAACCTGTCCACAAGCAAACTGCATCCTACCACGGAGCTTAAGTGCAGCGCTTTTGGTCAACACACCAGCATCCATGATCGCGCGGATGGACGCGCACAACTCGTTGGTACGGGACTCGGTGTTGCACAACTCCACACGGCCTGAAGGGAAATTAGCGAGGGACAACCGAACGCCCAAGGCTGTGACAAGCTCACTAAAAGGCTCGGCTTTGGATCCTTCCTTCGCATAGGCCCATCCAAGGAGAGTGAAGAAGATTTGGATTGAGCTGTTGGTATTGCTCGCCAAGCAAGATTCAGAGAGGACGACGAAGTCGTCATAATATAGTGACCAAGCCAGCTTTAGCGCAACCACTCCTAACCACCACAACGCATGCGATATGCGAAGGAATCCGTAGACTGACTTGGTTGCTCCAAACGGTAAGGCGCGACACCTGTATATGCGGGGCCTCTTCTCATCACAGTCATAATAGGCAACATACGAAGCCCACGAAGATGAGGGATGGACCGGGACTTGCCTATAGGCTGCTTGTAGGTCGTAAGCACGACCCACGAACTTTCTTCCAGGAAAGGCCCTCATGGACTGCAGGGTCATTGCACAGAGCACATCTGCGGTATGTGGCTTCGGGGATTCGCCAGCCCCAACAGATTCATTGACATGTGAAATCGAGAAATCATCGATGAGGCGGGTTTTCCCAGAAGCTTGTGGCAGACCAAAACGTTTGCTTATGATGGCATGTTCGGGCAAGTCATCAACCTCAAAGGGGCCTACAAGCCAACCCTTCTGAACTTCCTCCGCCGTCTTCTCTTTCACGATCGCATCAATTTCACTCCCTTGACTTGTGACCTTTTCAAGCACCTCCTGCTGGATGGCCTTCGCTTTTGCTTTTAGTTCGGCCTCAGTCATAGAAGCATGCCTTTCCGCCGCATTGAAGATCCCAGTATGCAGAGCATCACCGGTCAGGCTGACCCCACTGACTAGCTCATTGAAGGCATCTAAGTCCGGGTAACCATATTCTTCAAGGAGGCTCTTAAAGAGGAGAAGGCGTTTAGGGGCCAGGATCTGTCGAACCTCGGGGTGAAGGGAACTTTTAAAGGCTTTCTCATCCTTCTCAAGGTTCTTCGCCCTACGGGACCATTCCTTAAGCACCTTTAGCCTATGCGAGGCAAGATTTTTGGGAGTCATTTTTGAAGAATCCGTAATCGCATCTTGCAGCTCCTGCGGGAGGTTAGCTTCGAGCAGGGAGGGGTGGCCTGCAGCCACTGCACAGTCTACAAACTCGGATGGCGAGAAGGGTATCCCCCACGCAAGTTCAAGCATCTTCCCAGAGCTTCCCTCCTTAACCTCAACACCAAGCAAGTCATTCCGAAGAAGCTGGGAGTACTTAGGAATGGAAGGCAAGGCACATGTGCATGGGGTCGGCACAACCCAGTCAGAGTCTAGGCGCTGTCTGAGGGCACAGGGAGGCTGGAGCAGGTGGGCTGGGCCTCGAACCACGATGACAGCACGATGCTCAGGTACCAAGGGTACAGTCTTGCTGGCTTTGGGTTGTATGCCAGTGGCGGCACGCAGGGCCGCATAGTCCACGGGTGATGGGCGTGCGCATTCCCCAACCTGCAAGGCCAAGGGAAAAGAGAGTTGCAAGAGGCTGTTGCACTGGTCAGACGTCAGGAGGTCGTAACCTTTCAAGGTGTAGCAAGAGAGGATCATACGATCGCCTTTCCAAGGCTCGGTAGAGTGTAAACACGAAGCGGCATCCAGCTGCACAGGGCCCTTGTCAAGGGCCAGCACTTGACCAGGAGTGTTAACCCCAGCAACACGACGGCATATGGCCCCGCGGGGGCACTGCACCCAGAGGCCCCCACCTGTGAAAGTAGAGAGAGCCAGCACATGACTGGCCACTGGCACATTCTGCAGGTCACGGTGCGCAGGGGAAGCAACATTGTCAAGTACAGCAAATGCATTGTAAGAAGCCGTAGGCACAGCTTTAGCCACGAATGCATTAATGGCAGCAACAGACAAGGGGAATTCCCGACAGGATTTGCGAAGACCCGAGATGCCATTGCCTTTGCGGTACATGCCAGCATAAAAGGCGCCCTGAGGGTAAGGAAGCTCATCAGATTTGGCTGTGTGGGGAGGTTCTCTGGGCAGCAACCGTACAAGAGCAAGGATCGCATCACGAGAGATGACCGCTTGCTTCAAAAGGCGAGCTGCAAAAGTTTCGGCATCACAAGTTGCAACCTCGGGCTCAACTTCAGAAGAAGGAGCTGACGACAAGGCCACACTAAGTTTTTCATTATCGGAGTCGGAAACATGCACAACATCAGTGAAACTGGGATTCGTAGGGATTGCGGCTCGAGGAGCACCTGAGCCTTCACCGCCTTCGGGCTCCGGACGAGCCGAAGGTTGCGAGGACGGGTCATGGGAGGATCTGAAATTGGATTCACTCCCCCCCACCCCGCCGATGTTTCAATCCTTGTGCTGCACGATTGGGTGCGGCTGGAAGCACTTGCAACACAGATGCTTGCGTGGGCAGGTGGCTGCATCACACTTGCACTTGTCCCCTTGAAGGTTGTACGAGAAGCACAGCTGGTCACCTTGCGGCGTGCAGGCTACCCCACCCAACTTAAGGATCTCCCGAGGCACTAAACCCCAACCAGCCTGACTAGGGTACCCCTTAGGGGTCGCCAATTTCTTACCCTTAAATTCCCTGGGCCTTTGCTATCGTCCTTGCCATCCTTGCCTGCACCTTTGAACCTTTTGCGAGGCTCCCATTTGGACCCACTTCGTAGCGGCATAAGTCCGAAAGACACTTCATAACTCTCCAGGGCTTGCATAAGCTCTGAGTCCAAGGGGAAGGTTCCGGTGGCATCCTTGCGTGGCTTCACCCCTCTTTCGATGAGCCTGGTCCAGACCAGCTTATCGGCCTCAACAAGCTGTGCCACGGAGGTCCTTGCATGGTTCGGGGGCGGCTCGCGATGGATATGCGAGAACAATTTCGAGAGGTACCTCGAATATGCGTCAAAGGACACACTCTGGCTGAATACATAAGCGAGGCCTCGCCGCAGGAAGGCCTCTTGCACTTGAAGCGCGGAGTGCGAAGGCATGGTGAGTTCATCCTCCTGATTCTTCACCACAAGATGATTAGAAGCCCAGGCAATTGCTTCCGCAGTGACGCTAAGCGCTGTTCTCGCTCGGCTTCCGGAACCTTCTTTGATGATCCGTCAGGGTCGTTAATCTGCTGTCGTAAATCAGCAAGCACTAAAGTCTGAGCCTCAAAAATGAGGCGACGGAGACAAGCTGAGTCGGCACCCGATGCACGGGGGATGGTGTCCTTTACGAATTGATTGAACGCTTCATCTGGGATGATCTGACCAGGCTGCCCGACACTGTACGCAAGCTGCCCAAGGGTCACGAATCCCTGGGACTTGAGACTCTTGAAGGCCGCTTCAGAGAACTTCACCTCGGCAGCACGCTTGTCCAGGTGGGCTTCGCTCTCAAGGAGGGAAGTCATGACTCTCCGGATCTAGTCACTCTACAGCACTAGACGAATGGCTTCAGAAATATAGTCGTGTGCACACATCAGGACATGAAACATTCAGCGACTTACACAATCCCACCATGGAGAAATGTCAAGGCCATGCCTCTGACCCTTTGGTCTTGAGCCCTTGCTCTGCCCGTCACCATGTGACTCACATCCCTGTCTTCCTTGACACATGTCAGAAACTGCACACTCAGCACACAACACAGGACGCGGACCTACAGACGCAAGCACGCGCATCCCAAGAAGCTTTCTTCCTCAGCAGTGACCCTTGTCACAAGTTCATAATGTGGCCATTGCCACTGTGCTCAAGAACCCTTGTTCCTGCGGCACGTACAGCACACCGGCCCAGATGGCTCTTCCTTATCAGAGAGAACGTACATGTGACTTCTTTTTCGGCCACACATCAGCATGTTGACACCATACGTCCAATGCCAAACATGGGACTTCTTGTGCACGACCCACTCTCCACCCTTCTCCGAAGGGACGAGTTTTTGATACTCGGCATGAGGACGCCTCTTAGGCGCAGGAGGGCTGGCACTGGAAGAATCAGAACTATCAGAATGACCTCCGCTGGACTCTTCCGAACTTGAAGATTCTGAACCACTAGCCTCCGACTCAGACTTGATCTCAACAGCAGGAACCAATGGCTTCGACACTTTGGTTCCAGCAGCGGTTGCGGGTGGCGATGGCGGGAATCGCCACATATCAGCACGGCTCGCATCAGGCCTAAATTCCTTGTCCCGCACCTGCCTCAAGATGCCTTCCAGTTGCTTACTGTTCAAGAAAACCAGTTAGCATATGCGTTTTTTTGGGAGTGCAGTTAGCATATGATGCTGTTTGGAATCCCGGATGAAATTAGACAAAAAAAAAACACTGCAGTTAGCATATAGAGGGGTCCAAAATATGCTATCTTCTCGTGTGGGGACACGAAAAGCACCAGCATACCGAGGCGAAATGCAGTTAGCATGTCAAGAAAACTGCAGTTAGCATATGCCATCCTCGATGCAAAGATGGGCATCCGAAAGGGCAAAAACTGCAGGGAATATCAGTAAAACCAGTGCAGTTAGCATATTCGTGCCTCCTAAAACCGACGAAATGACCTGATATGACACATATACTGTATGATAAGAATCGAGCTGCAGTAAACACTTACTGTACTTGGTTTAGGGTTCACTGTGGGGCTTACTGCACAGTACTGTTGGGGTTTCTGCTAGATTCTCCTCTTCGAACAGTGAACAGTGAAAGCACATGCCGGCTTTCTCTTCTTTGATCAGTACAATACTGCACAACACGGTTCTGTACTGTACCGCACTGTAGTGTACTCTACAATACAATACTGTACAGCACGCTCCCCATTTGCCCTCGCCCCTGTCACTCTCAAAGTCGTGTTCATGGCAGCCTGCAGCAGGAACCCATCCCACCCAGTGGCACAGCAATGAATGTGACAGGCAATTATGAGGCATGGAAACACGGAAGGAACCATTCGAAGGCGGCTGGCCCGGAATATATGCTATCTGCGGTTCTCTGCAGGGTTTGGACAACAGAAATTATACAAGAAGGGTTGCCATCCACTTTGCCCGTTGGGCTTCCTGTACAGTAAGAGAAGTCGTAACATTTGCTGTTTCGCCCAAGTAACCGCGCCTGACACAAAACATGGTTTCCACACAGACACACCGCGTCTGAAACTTTCTACCGAACCGTGGGCTTGCAAGCGACAAGAGGCACTTCCAGGGCTAAAGTTGCACTGCGACCAAGCACAATCTAGCCAGGACGCCAAACGAGGCATTTCCAGTACTAAAGTTGTACTACAACCAAGCACAATCCAGCCAGGACGCCAAACGAGGCATTTCCAGTACTAAAGTCATACTACAACCAAGCACAATCCAGCCAGGACGCCAAACGAGGCATTTCCAGTACCAAAGTTGTGCTACAACCAAGCACAATCCAGCCAGGACGCCAAACATTTCCAGTACTGAAGTTGTACTACAACCAATCACAATCCAGCCAGGACGCCGAACGAGGCATTTCCAGTACTAAAGTTGTAATACAACCAAGCACAATCCAGCCAGGACGCCAAACGATGCATTTCCAGTACTAAAGTTGTACTACAACCAAGCGCAATCCAGCCAGGACGCCAAACGAGGCATTTGCACTAGTATAGTTGTACTACAACCAAGCACAATCCAGCAGGACGCCAAACGAGGCATTTCCAGTACAAAAGCTGCACTACATACAACCAAGCACAATCCAGCCAGGACGCCAAACGAGACACTTCCAGTATCAAAGTTGTGCTACAACCAAGCACAATCCAGCCAGGACGCCAAACGAGGCATTTCCAGCACTAAAGTTGTACTACAACCACGCACAGTCCAGCCAGGACTCCAAACGAGGCAATTCCAGTACTAAAGTTGTACTACAACCAAGCGCAATCCAGCCAGGACGCCAAACGAGGCATTTCCACTAGTAAAGTTGTACTACAACCACGCACAATCCAGCCAGGACGCCAAACGAGGCATTTCCAGTACTAAAGTTGTATTAGAACCAAGCACAATCCAGCCAGGACGCCAAACGAGGCATTTCCAGCACTAAAGTTGTACTACAACCAAGCGCAATCCAGCCAGGACGCCAAACGAGGCATTTCCACTACTAAAGTTGTACTACAACCAAGCACAATCCAGCCAGGACGCCAAACGACGTATTTCCAGTACCAAATTTTCGTACTAAAAGGACTTTTGCAAGCAACCCGTATCACCAACTACACCGCGGAACGTTACGACCCAGCGTTTTTTCGCTTCTGCGAAGGTCTGCCCTGATCTGCTGACATGCGTTACGACTTCGGTAGTTCCCTGTCGCATAACTGCAGTGAATATCAACAAAATAAGTGCAGTTAGCATATTCGTGCCTCCTAAAGCCGACGAAATGACCTGATATGACACATATACTGTATGATAAGAATCGAGCTGCAGTAAACACTTACTGTACTTGGTTTAGGGTTCACTGTAGGGCTTACTGTACAGTACTGTTGGGGTTTCTGCTAGCTTTCTCCTCTTCGAACAGTGAGCAGTGAAAGCACATGCTGGCTTTCTCTTCTTTGATCAGTACAGTACTGCACAACACGGTTCTGTACTGTACCGCACTGTAGTGTGCTCTACAATACAATACTGTACAGCACGCTCCCCATTTGCCCTCGCCCCTGTCACTCTCAAAGTCGTGTTCATGGCAGCCTGCAGCAGGAACCCATCCCACCCAGTGGCACAGCAATGCAATTACGAGGCATGGAAACACGGAAGGAACCATTCGAAGGCGGCTGGCCCGGAATATATGCTATCTGCGGCTCTCTGCAGGGTTTGGACAACAGAAATTATACAAGAAGGGTTGCCATCCACTTTGCCCGTTGGGCTTCATGTACAGTAAGAGAAGTCGTAACATTTGCTGTTTCCCCCAAGTAACCGCGCCTGACACAAAACATGGTTTCCACACACCGCCTCTGAAACTTTCTACCGAACCGTCGGCTTGCAAGCGACAAGAGGCACTTCCAGTACTAAAGTTGTAGTGCAACCAAGCACAATCTAGCCAGGACGCCAAACGAGGCATTTCCAGTACTAAAGTTGTACTACAACCAAGCACAATCCAGCCAGGACGCCAAACGAGGCATTTCCACTACTAAAGTTGTACTACAACCAAGCACAATCCAGCAGGACGCCAAACGAGGCATTCCAGTACCAAAGTTATACTACAACCAAGCACAATCCAGCCAGGACGCCAAACGAGTCATTTCCAGCACTAAAGTTGTACTACAACCACGCACAATCCAGCCAGGACGCCTAACGAGGCAATTCCAGTACTCAAGTTGTATTACAACCACGCACAATCCAGCCAGGACGCCAAACGAGGCATTTCCAGTACTAAAGTTGTATTACAACCATGCACAATCCAGCCAGGACGCCAAACGAGGCACTTCCAGTATCAAAGTTGTGCTACAACCAAGCACAATCCAGCCAGGACGCCAAACGAGGCATTTCCAGCACTAAAGTCACTAAAGTTGTACTACAACCACGCACAATCCAGCCAGGACGCCGAACGAGGCAATTCCAGTACCAAAGTTGTACTACAACCAAGCGCAATCCAGCCAGGACGCCAAACGAAGCATTTCCAGTACTAAAGTTGTACTACAACCAAGCGCAATCCAGCCAGGACGCCAAACGAGGCATTTCCACTAGTATAGTTGTACTACAACCAAGCACAATCCAGCAGGACGCCAAACGAGGCATTTCCAGTACAAAAGCTACACTACATACAACCAAGCACAATCCAGCCAGGACGCCAAACCAGGCATTTCCAGTACTAAAGTTCAAGCACAATCCAGCCAGGACGCCAAACGAGGCATTCCCAGTACTAAAGTTGTACTACAACCAAGCACAGTCCAGCCAAGACGCGAGACGAGGCATTTTCAGTACCAAAGTTGTACTACAACCAAGCACAATCCAGCCAGGACGCCAAACGAGGCATTTCCAGTACTGAAGTTGTACTACAGCCAAGCACAATCCAGCCAGGACGCCAAACGAGGCATTTCCAGTACCAAAGTTGTGCTACAACCAAGATCAACCAAGCACAATCCAGCCAGGACGCCAAACGAGGCATTTCCAGCACTAAAGTTGTACCCAAACGAGGCATTTCCAGCACTAAAGTTGTACTACAACCAAGCACAATCCAGCCAGGACGCCGCACGAGGCATTTCCAGTACCAAAGCTGTACTACAACCAAGCACAATCCAGCCAGGACGCCTAACGAGGCAATTCCAGTACTCAAGTTGTATTACAACCACGCACAATCCAGCCAGGACGCCAAACGAGGCATTTCCAGTACTAAAGTTGTATTACAACCATGCACAATCCAGCCAGGACGCCTAACGAGGCAATTCCAGTACTAAAGTTGTACTACAACCAAGCGTAATCCAGCCAAGACGCCAA